CGAAGAAATACACAATAAAGATTTAAGGAACATTATAAAGTTAGTCGAAGACAACCCTGATTTAATCATGGAAGAGGCCACGAACATCTATTATGATGTACAAGGGACAGGAACACCGGCAATGAAGTATGAAAGGGGCAATCTTTTGGTTCCCTATCATGAGTATAACAATCTGACAATATATATGTGCCAGTTACATGAATATTACATGGCTCAAGCAACAGAGACGGACGACTTTGGTTTTGAGGTTATTATCCGTTCGCCACATGTTTTCCAATATCCTGAAGAAGAGAAGTTCGATGTCGAGTGGGAGTGCTTGTTCCAGCTATACCAGAAACACGCTCTCGATGTTCAAATGTTGACGCTGTGGACTATGTAAGTACCCTATATGCACGATATTACAATTAACTACTCTCTTGAGACACAAATTGTTAACTTTTAAGCACTTCCCATGATTTTATGTAGGTGTGTAGCAAAATTTTGCATCCTAAAAAGCAAATGGGATTACATAGGCTTCTTGGATCCCATGCGAGTCAATGAGAGGACATGTCTAGGCCTCTATGGATGTGACGTGAAAGACCTAAAGCAGAGATTAATTGTTGTTTTTGATGAATTCATGATAAAGAAGAAAACCCACATACTGCTAGCCTACAACATTGAGTATGTGTTCTCGACTTTTAATTTTATGCTTCTTTTTCGTTAAGATTATTCGATAATTAGGATTCTGTGATTGCAGCAACCATTTCATCTTCATTTGTGTTAATCTTGCCAAAAATCTGTTCGAGGTGTGGGACTCGAAGAAAAAACCATTTTATCATTTGGATGCACTGGTGGTAGTGCTGAATTAGTAAGCGATCCTAATAACTATTATTTTCTAATCACACATACCGCTTTCTAATGTTTCTCCTTTTAATGTTGCTCAGTGTCCGAAGAAGACATATCGGTGGGACGTCGGTCCCATTTAAGGTTGTCGAAATGGAGGGGACGTACCTATCACATCCGGCGGGAAACAATGAATGCGGGTTTTATGTAATGTGGGCAATGCTTCGCTACATCGATGGGAAATCGGAAGAAGCCAATACGTTGGTGTGTATAATCCTCATTTCATTTATGTCTGTTAATAATTCAACAAAATAATTTACTATTCCTCTTTGGATATCATCTTTTTTGAACGACATAGCAAGAAATATAAGCACGAAAGGCTGCTAGACATGGAGATAGTCGCACTACAATCGGAGCTGGCAAAAATCATCTTAGCCGAGGTATTGGAAAAAGATGAAGTATTTTCCATTGCATAATCCGTAAAGTACAAGGACCAGTATGGCCCAGAGCGGCTCGCCAGATTATTGTAAGAGTCCGAGAAGCATGTGTGAAGTCCAAGAACATTTCTTTTTTATTTTGAGAGATCGTGATGTGGATAAGAACATTTGAATTGTCATCGTAACATTTATAATGTTTAATATTGATGGACTTTCGTCTACGTAGTGTATATAAAGCGAAATCTGATTCCACGAAAAAATATAAATTAAAATAAATTATAAAACAATAAAATATGAATAGGGCATCACCACCGGTTAGCAACAAACCGGCAGTGTTATCGTAACCATCACTGCCGGTTAGAAGCAAACTGACAGTGTTGGCTTGCTCAACACTGACGGTTTGAACCATGAACCGACACTGATAGTTACGAGAACACTGTCGGTTTGATCCATGAACCGACACTGATATTTACTACAACACTGCCAGTTTGATCCATCAAATGACAGTGTAGGCTTGCTCAACACTGCTGGCTTGAGCCAAGAACCGACACTCTTAAAGCAACCTTCACTGTCGGTTGGCACTACAAACCGGCAGTGTTGTTCAACTGGACACTGCCGGATGAAGCCAGGAACCGACACTGTTTCATGTAGATCAGTATTGATTTTTAAGGACCGGCAGTGATGTCAACCCCCATCACTGCCGGTATGCCACTGTCGGTTCAAAATACATCAGTGAAGTGGGTTTTTGAACCGTCAGTGAAGTTCAGATCTGGGGTAGTGTATCGTAATAAGAACGTTATAGGAAATAATAGATGTACGGTTCTTAGTAATTCTAGCTAGAAGAAAGCTCTGTTCAGTTCTCGTACATTCACAAGCTAAGCCCTCTTTTAGATATACAGTAAAAGATAACTACCAAATCAATTTTTTGGCATTGTTTTATTCCTCAAAATCAACTCTAAGGAAAAGAATGTAGAAAAAATTATTCACCAATAAATCTGAGGTTCATGACACCAGAAAAAATTATTCACATGACGTCGTTTTTGAGAGAATGAAATCTGCAGGACGCACCGGGGCGGGGCACCGGGGGCGGGACACGCTGGGGCGAGCGGCGCCGTGGGCGGGGCGGGACGCCGAGGGCTGGCGGCGCTGGGGGCGGGGCAGCGATGCCGCGCCAGTGGCAGGGCGGGGAGGCGGGGGGTGGCGGCTTGCGGTGCGGCGTGGGCCGGGCGCGGCGGGGCGCGGTGGGGCGGGGGGTGGCGGCGTGCGGTGCGGTGTGGTGTGGCGTGTTGTGTGCGCGAGGGTGAGGGCCGGGGGTGCGGGCCATTGGGGGCATATGAAGGAGTATGCCGAGTGCCAAGATTGGGAGCATCGGCAAAGTATAGATATGTCGAGTGGCAAGATCTAGGGCACTCGACATTGTTTTTTTTAATTTTTATTACGGCCCGATCCTGTGCAGTAGGGCTAGGTCGACGAATTTGCCAAGTGTCCCCTATATGACACTCGGCAAATACTATTTTCGCCGAGTGTCAGGTAGAATACACTCGGCAAAATAAATTAATATTTCATGCTCACCCATCCTCCTTCTTCATAACGTGTTTTACTAAATTTGTTACAATGTAATTTAAAAATACCCTGTCAAATTCACTCAACAATGCATATTTGATTTTTCTACGAATATTAATCCATCATTTCATGTAGTTATAGCGCAATTTAATATATATCAATAAAAATACTATAATTGCAGTTAATAAATTAAAATTATCAAACGGATCCGAAAAATTACTAAAATTTGACTTGAACCAATCTATGTTGTCTATTGCCTATATAAAAAAATTTGAAGTCAAACCCCAATTCAACCGTCACTTTGACTCTAAATCTTACCGGATCCTTCTCAACGCTACGATCCTTCTTCGGAGATGCTTCGGTTTGTAAAGGTCGTACGTGACAAATAGCGCGAAACCTTCTCAATTTTTTTCCACAGTCTCCACGTATGATATCACGAGATCTTGACAAATCTCGTCATTTTCAGACTTCATTTGCTTTTTTAGAATTTAAAAATCATTTGACCACACATTCGTGGTCGTGTTTTCTGAACAAAATGTTCGAAAATTCTTTTCATTTCCCAGGTAAGGCCCCAAAATGGACTCAATAACATGAATATGATTTCTCCACTCAATTTATTTCATTATTTATATCACTTGCAGTTCAAATTTGACTTAAACCAAAACATTCTTCTAAATGCAATAAATTACTTAAATATAGCAAACAGATGGAGAAATATATCAAATTTTAACATGTAGTACCACATGTTGTATGTGGAGAGTAGAAAAAGTTTGAAGGGCAGGAGAGAAAAAAAAATTTATTATTTTGCCGAGTGCAATTAAAAAACACTCGGCAAAAACATTACTTTGCCGAGTGTAAACAAAAAACACTCGGAAAAAATATTAGTTTGCCGAGTGTCAAGCAAAAACACACGGCATACCTTGTCTTTGCCGAGTGTCTCTAACGGACACTCGGCAAAGTTCTAACGGCAGGGTGGCGCACCCAACGGCCGTCAGATGGCCGCCGCACGCCCAGCGCACGTGACTCCATTTTGCCAAGTGTCCGTGTTTACCGAAAGTTTTCTTGTATTTTGCCGAGTGTTTTATATTAGGCACTCGGCAAAGTTGTCTTTTGCCGAGTGATATATGTTTGCCGAGTGTTTCATTAAATACACTCGGTAACTTGGATGTTTGCCGAGTGCCCGATGGAATGCACTCGGCAAACCCTCAGGCACTCGGCAATTCTACTGTTTCCGGTAGTGTGATATACTTCTATATGTTTGAACAATTCCAATTTATGTTCAATTCAATGAATATATGGATCATGCTCAATTATATGTTATATCTACTATATATTATAATTACAACTACAAGTAGTATATATATATATATCAAACAATAGGCTTTTAGGTTGTCAAAAAAATGCAGCCCTTTGCATTTTAAAATACCAAGCCTAAAAAAATCCATGTCTTGAGAGAGGAAGAGGTGAGAATGATGAAGTCAATGCCAAAACAAATCTGCATGCTTGGATCTCATGGGATCTAAGAGAGAGGACAAATGAGGAAAAGAGAGGGAGACAGCGGAATCTCATGGGATCTAAAAGCCAAAACAGTGTGTACCCGGGAAGTATGTAGGAGTAGTCGACATGCGTGTACTGTCGTATAGGCCAGTGGATTGCATGCACAGACATTGTCCCAAGTTATTACTTCCAACATGGAATTTCCCTGGGCCAGGACGACTTCCCGTGCATCTTTGCGACGCTGTAGAAAGTTGACGTTGACTTAGTTGTGTTCAAAGGTAACAGAGAGACGACTGCATGCATTTTCTGTGCTTTTTGCACGCCGTTTTTCTCGATTACAGCGTCAAGATTTAACAACCGTGTTTTTGACCGCGCTGCTGGTGGTTGGTGCCCCCGGCAGTCATTTTCCCGCCAGGCCAGCTCCTCCCTCACTTTTATGGGCCCAGCATAACGAAACCCCCTATATATACATACACGCGCATGTGCTAAACCACACAACATGCTAGCATTAAGCATCAATACAGAACTCAGACACCCTACTCGATCAACACTCTAATCAGTGAGAAAAAAACTCACTTATTAGCTAGCTTGATCACCATTATTCTCATCATCATCTGCTAGCTTCTTGCTTGCCAGCTAGTCCATCGATCATTAGCTAGGAACGAAGTTACGTCGACGACGATGACCACCATGGCAGTGACGGTGGAGATCACGCGCCGCGAGGTGCTTAGACCCCCACCATCGGCGTCCGCCCGCGCCGGCGGCAGCAAGTCCCTGCTGACGCCCTTCGACCGCGCCTCCACCGACGGCTACATCCCGACCGTCTTCGCGTGGAACACGCCTGCGCCGGACAACGACGCCATAGTGGACGGCCTGCTCGCTGCCGTCGCGAGGTACCCGCACCTGGCGGCGCGCATGGGCGTTGACGACCGCGGCAGGAAGTGCTTCCACCTCAACGACGCCGGGGTGCTTGTCGTCGAGGCCACCGCCGACGCCGACCTTGCCGACGCGCTGGTGGCGCACGACGTGGCGGCGCACATCAACGAGCTGTACCCCAAGGCAGATAAGGTAACTACTAGCTAGTTCCTTCGGTGAAAAGAAGTTCTAATACTAGTAGCTAACCTTCTATATAGACGCGTATTAGTCGTGACCCGATCGATGAAGACACGTATTGTATGAACGCGTGCATGTGTTATGGTGATATGCGTGCAGCATGCGCTTATACTATGTCTGTGGTACGCGGTGCAGGAACGTGTCGACGAGCCTCTCTTCCAGGTGCAGCTGACACGGTACAGGTGCGGCGGCCTGGTGATCGGCACCGTGAGCCAACACCTCGTCGCCGACGGGCAGTCCATGAGCTCCTTCTACACGGCCTGGGCGACGGCCGTGCGCAACGCTTCGGCTACCGATGTACCGTCGCCCTTCACCGACCGCGCGGCCATCGCCGTCCCCCGCAGCCCACCCGTGCCCAGGTTCGATCACCGGAACATCGAGTTCCGTGGCGACCATAGCTGGATCCACGCCGTCCTCCCCATGGACAGGATCAAGAACCTCGCCATCAACTTCCCGGAGGAGTTCATCGCCGACCTCAAGGCCCGCGTGGGCGGCCGGTGCACCACGTTCCAGTGCCTCCTGGCGCACGCCTGGAAGAAGATCACGGCGGCGCGGGACCTGGCGCCGGAGGAGTTCACGCAGATAAGGGTCGCCGTGAACTGCAGGGGCCGTGCCGACCCTCCGGTGCCCATGCAGTACTTCGGTAACATGGTGCTGTGGGCGTTCCCGCGGATGCAAGCCCGGGAGCTGCTGTCCTCCAGCTACGCCGCGGTGGTCGGCGCCATCCGCGACGCCGTCGCGCGCGTCGACGCCGAGTACATCCAGTCCTTCGTCGACTTCGGGGACATGGCGGAACGCGCAGGGGAGGAGCTGGCGTCCACGGCCGCAGGTCCGGGCACGGCCTTCTGCCCGGACCTGGAGGTGGACAGCTGGCTGGGGTTCAGGTTCCATGATCTCGACTTCGGGTACGGGCCGCCGTGCGCCTTCCTGCCGCCGGACCTCCCCGTCGAGGGTCTCATGATCTTGGTGCCGTCGTGCGCGGCCAAGGGTGGCGTCGACCTCTTCATGGCTCTCGACGACCACCACGTTGAGGCCTTCAAACACATCTGCTACTCCATGGATTGATCGCTAGCTCAATGTAATCACACCCAACAAGCCAAGTGTGTGTATATACATATACATACATATGTACGTCTTATACATACAATACAATATGATGTGAGCGCGACGAGTATGTGCGCGGTATACATATGTACGTAACAGAGCCACGTGTTTGTAATACTGCAAGGGATATCTATCGGATGTCTTCGTGATCGACTACATGTGTGCATCTATATGTAAACATACACATGTAAATAAATGTTCTGACGAGCGAGTCTATTACGTAGACCCATTTGTTCGTTGTTACATTTTCTCGGCATATCAAAATATAATCATATATGAAAGTAGTAGTAGCTTCTTACCAAAATCTACTGATATTATTTTAGTCCTATAAATCTTAAAACTTTATCTGCAGTGTTAGTGATTAATAAAAGTTTCTAAAGTTTTAATTGCGGGGCTTTCTTGTGACATCTATCCGAACAGTAGGAGCGGATTCTATATACTCTCTCCATCCCAAAAATATACAATTCTCATTTCTCGAGAAATCAAATAATTTAAAAATTGATTAAATCTATAAAAAGTTACTACCAAATAAATTTCATTAGAATTGTTATAAAATACATTTTTTGTAATACATCTATTTGAAGACATAAATATGGAAGTTATTTTTCTATAAACTTAGTTAAAAAGCGTGACTTTATTTTTAGAACGAAGATAGTATATTGGAGTAGTTATTTTACCCTGTTTTTAATCTTCGCACAAAAAAATTACCATGTTTTATATCTAGCGATGAGACAGGTCGAGGACGCATGTCTCACGAGTACTTCTTTGATTGATTGAAGCTTACAACTGAAGCAGTACACTCCTAGAGATAGTTTTTTTTTTTGAACATAGATAGTTCTCGTGTTAACACGTACGCAGGAGCCTTCTTTTTGGAAATGGAAAGAAGAAATACGAGCAAAAAGAAAAGGCATGCGCGGGGTCGTTGTGACGCGATGCAACGAGGCCGTTTACCCGTACGTGGTGGAGACGACTAGAGATTAGAGTTGGATTGCGTGACGGAACGCTCCGTTCCAGGCCGGTGGGGGTTGGTGCGGAGACTGCGTGACAACATGGTCAAGGCCGCAGTCTCTCACGCTGGCAGGGCGTTGGAAGAAATCGTACAACCCGTCAGACTTTCGGCTCAGCTGAGAGACGTACCAGTCAGGTCCACGTCGCCATCTTGACATGTGCAGTGTCTGTTTGGAGTATAGTTGGCCAAACCAGCCGCCCGGCACGGCACTAGCACGGGCACGGCCAGGCACGGCGCTACGCGGCACGGAAGACTAGCCGTGCCGTGCCTGTCAGTGTCGCCATGCCGAGGTGCCGGCCCAGGCACAACACTATTAGGTCTTAGTCGTGTCGTGCCGTGTCACTTGGCACGGTGGCCCAGGAGTCCCGTGTCGGCACTGGCACTACAAGTGATCAAACACCTCAAACTGATAAGAATATCAGGGACAAGTTCATCATCTCAAACACCTCAAACAGATCAGAATATCAAACACCCCAAACACTTCACATCTCAATCTTAAGTTACAAGTTCAAAGAACTTATCAAAGGCTCAAAGTTACATGTTCACAGAACTTATCAAAGACTCAAAGTCACATAATCACACAAACACAGGCAGAGAACAAGGGTTAGGGTTAGGGATCCATCCATCGCCACTCGTCGGCGCCCCGGTCCCTCAACGGCTTCAGACAAAACAGAGCAAGGGTTAGTAGAGATTGAGGGTTAGGGTTAGGGATTGAGCAAGGGTTAGGTCGACGGCGACTTACCTTCAAAACCGGAGCACCAGAGTCGCCGGCAAGGTCGACGAGGCATGGATCCGGCCAGGAAACCGACAGATCCGGCCAGGAAACCGATGGATCTGGTGAGGTCGACGACGGATCCGACGAGGAAACCCATGGATCCGGCCAGGAAACTGGCGGATCTGGCGAGGTCGACGAGGGATCCGGCGAGGATGAAGCGAGATCAAGGGTTAGGGTTAGGGATTGAGCAAGGGTTAGGGTTAGGGATTGTGCCAGTGCCGGCCAGCGGTGGCTCCAGAGGCCACCGGAGAGCGAGGCGAGAGAGGAAGTCGGAGGCAAGAGAGGAGAGCGAGTCGCCGATGCGGCGACGCTGACTCGCCGAGAGAGGAGAGCGAGGCGAGAGAGTAGCGGGCGAGACGACGCTGCGGGGGAGAGCCGAGAGCGAGGCGAGAGAGACAGAGAGTGAGAGCAAATGAATTAAGGCAACGGAGACGTGGCCGGCTGGCCGGGACGGGTGGTTTTATACCCCTGATTCCAATGGCTGGATCCAACGGTCCGATGGGAGCGAGGCCGGGGATCCAACGGCCACCTGCGGCCGAGCAGTGCCGCTGCCGGGCCAGCCCATATAGCGTGTCATGCCCGGGCCGGCACTACGGGCCAGAATGGCGGCCCAGGCACGGCACTAAGGACGGGCCGTGCCAAGCACTGGCACGAAGGTCGTCGGGCCGGGCCGTTCCTGGGCGTGCTAATTAGTGCCGTGCTTGGGCCAGCCCGTAGTGCCCGGGCCAAATGGCCAACTATAGTTCGGAGCAACATACTCCCTCCGTCAAATTATAAGGGATTCTAACCTAACTTTAACAGAGAATTAAAACATCTTAAATTTAACTAAATTTATATAAATAATAATAATATTTATAATACCAAATAAGTATTACTAAATTCTTCATTCATTATATTATAAGTATATATCTATTGTTGATGTCTAAATCTTTATAATTCTCTCTATAACTTTGATTAAACTTGAAAGGTTCTGACTCTCCAAATAGGTTGGGATGACTTATAATTAAAAATAGAGGGAATATATACTACAGGAGATCCAGGCCAGGCAATGTTCCTTCATGTCATTGGGCACAACCAATGTTATAGAGTCAAACTTGGAGGAGATCTATAGAGACTGTCGGTAGATATTTCAAGGAGGTGTTGTATATTGTTGGTGAACTGAGGGACCATATGATTAAGGGTCCACCTAGTGACACACCACTTAAATTCACAAACGGCCAGATGGGATCCATATTTTAAGATAATAAATTGCCTAATTTTTTGGCATGTGCTAGCTAATAGGATACATTAAATGTAACACATATTGTTGACTCCTTTGTAGGATTGTGTGGGTGCAATAGATGGCACCCATATATATGCTAGAGTGCCTGCCAAGATCCAAACAACTTTTGGGGGCAGGAAGCATTACCCAACACAAAACGTCCTTGCTGCAGCAGACTTTGATTTGAAATTTACATATGTCCTAGCTGTTAGGAGGGCTTAGCACATGATGCTATTGTCCTTGCCAATGCAATAGAGAGGAACCCAGGTTTACCTATTGTTGATATTTATTAACACACACAGAAAAAAAAGATCCGCAAGCACACAGATATTGTTGTAGCTTTCACCCGGAAGTATTCCAAGTATCGTATCCATAGAGAAATATATGAGACTAACTACAATCTAACTTAACCGGGAGTATAGAGGAGATCACAAAGGTCTTCTAGTTCTAATGTTGGTGTAACACCCTAAATTTTTGCATAATTTTAAAAATAGGAGAATTTGATTTATTATGCATTTTTGTGGGCATTTAAATTTAGGAAAATAATAATTTTATTGAATTAAAATCAAATATAGGTTTACAATCATGTGTGTGCATTCATGTTGTGGCATATTATTTTTGTATTGAGTGGTTTGATTCAAAATCCAAAACAGAAATTCAAAACTCATTTGAAAATGGTTAGAAAAGAAAGGAAAAGAAAAAGAAAATGGAAATATTCACTCCTCTCTCTTTTGGCCCGGATGGCTGCTCAGCCCGACCTGCTCTTCTCCCACTTCCGGCGGCCCAAGCCGTGGCCCAGCTCCCCACTCCGCCTCGCACCGGCCCGTTCTCCTCTCCCGCATGAGCCTACAGCACCGCGGCCCAGCAGCTAACCACGCGGAAGCCCGAGTCCCTCGCTCTCCCTCGCTAACACCCTGGCCCCGCCTACGTGCCTCGCTGACGTGTGGGACCCAGCTGTCAGCCGTGCCTCCTACCTCCGTCGTCTCGACGTCGGACTCTGCCTCGATTGGGAATCCGCCGCTGCGACATTTGCTCGCGTCTTGGCTTGCGCTGCACGCCTCGAGCCCCATAAATAGCGCCCCGGTTCGCATCTATACGCCGCCTCCTTTGCCATAGCCCTAGTTTCGCGCAGCCGCTCTGTTGGATCTCATCGGGGAGAAACCAGAGCCGCCGCCGCCATTGACGTCGACCGCCGCCTCGCTGTCGTCAAAATCCGTCCGCTTCCCTTCGGCTGAGGTGATGAAGCCGTAGTTTCCTTTTCCCTCTCTCTCTCTCTCTCTCTCCCGGTCTCTGTGTTTCTCTCACCGCCGCCGATCTTCGCAGGAGGCCGCCGCCCGCCCCATCGAGCCGTATGACATCGCCGTTCATTCCCCGTCGTCTAGAATCGCCTAGGTGAGCTCGCCTTACCATGCTCTATCTCCTGGTATTTTTCCCGTCAAGTTTGGAGCTCGGAAACTCGATTCCGGTGAGGTCTCACCGCCGTCGATGGCAGCCACCGCGCCGGAGTTATGTTCCAGCCGGCCTGAGCTTCCCAACCCGCCTCGGTTGTCCGATCTAAAACCAAAGGCCAGGATTAGAACTTACCCCTTCGCAGTGAAATTTGCAAAAAGGACATTATAAATATTCGAGTCTCAACCCGCCATCCCCGTAATCTTTCAAAAGAGACCCTCGGATTTTTGTTTATAGAACCCGCAGTCCAAAGCACCTTTCAAGAATACGTTTTCTTCTTTGGAAAGCGTAGTCTCATCGATTTAGATCTAAAATACGTTTTCACCTATTTACAGTTTTGCCACTAGATTTGTTTTAGCCATAAAATCTTCGTTTTAACTCCGATTTGATCCGTTCAACTTGCGTTAGATTCGTAATTCCATAATCTACATGTTCATACTACTGTTAAGTATGTTTTCAACTCTTAA